ATATACTGTTAAAAGTTATAAAGTAACATTTGGGAGTAAACAAACATCCCTAAGAACAAGGAAGAATTGGGAAATTACATACCTTCTTTTTTTTCCTCCTTCTTGACTGTGCCCTGCCCCTGTGGAAGCTGAGTTAGAGGAGAGACAGAGCCTGGGCGCTTCAGCATCTCTTGGCATTAACTGGTGGGAGTTCTCTGATGAGTCCCTGCTATGCTAAAGCTGCTCCAGAAGCAGTTTGGGCTGGAGGTAAGACCTATGTCTTGCTTACTCATACACAGTATCCCATATGGTCTTACTTTATTAGGCAACATTCATCCAAGACAGCTTTGCATGCCCCTTGAGCACAGGATTTAGAAGAGCACAGTCACAGAATATATGTCAGGGTTGGAAGTCATTAGGGCTGTTCATCCAGGTACAAAAAAATCTGAGGCCCAGAGCATTTAAATAACTTTTGCAGAGTCCTAGAGGTAGGTAGTTCAAGGCCATGAACCATGGCTCCCAGACACCTGTGCTATCCAGTGCTGCCACTCTTCTTATCTCTAAGCTGTGCCATGGGCAATACTGCCACCCATTTCACCATTTGCAGTCTCTGCCAAGATAAAGCAGGATGCACCTAGAAGATATCCTTGGGCTATAGACTTAGGTTTAAAACAACTAACAGGTAAATTGCTGCTGGAAAACATAACACATGGAGCTGTCCATTTTCAGAATCCAAATTGGGCATGAGACTTCACAAGGAGAGAAGGTCCTCAAAAATGTGCTTGTCAAATAATGACACCTGGTAACTACTTTATGAATCATGGAGGGAAGGATAAAGGGGAGTGGTGGAGGAGGTGAATTCAAGTATGATGTAGTTGACATATTATAAAAACATTTGTAAATTCCACAATGTTCCCCCACACAGCACAACAATAAAGGAAAAATTTAAAAAAAAATTTTTTTAATCCTTACATGCAAATTTATAAAACTGTAAAGGAGTTTAGGTTCATATCACTTGTTTTATATTTTCTTTTCCTTAGTACCTTTTTCTCTTTTTCTTTTCTTTCTATCTTTTTTTTGGTACCTTTTCATTTGACTCTGATTCCTCTAATACTTGGGAATGCATATTTAAAAGTGCTTACCACCTTACTGCTATGAATTGATAATGAAAAATATTTGTTCTTAAAATAAGATTACAAACTTTAATAGCTTGATTATGACAGCATTACACATATGTGGTAGAATCTGTAAAACTAGGCACCAGAGGGGTCAATTTTACTGTAAGATATCTTTTAAAATAAAGAATTTTAAACATTAAAAAGGAAAGGTTATTGATGTTAGAATTTCAGACTATTCCAGGAAGCAAGGTCTATGATGCTATAACTTTCCTCTCTTCTCTCCATTAGTCCTGACTCATAAGATCTTAAAATGAGAATTTAAGTGAGTCATGAAATAGATCTAAGGGGCCTAACATAAGAAGTTGGATTAAAGGAAAAAATTTTTTAAAAAACATGTGCTTGTCAAATGGAGGTGTTGTACATAAAATGAATCCTCACTGGCTTTAGAACATCTAAAAGCCAGTGAGGTTTTTAATGCATATTGAAACAAGATTTTGTTATTATTATTATTCATCTATTCACATGTGTGTACATTGTGAAAGAAGATTTTCTTAGCTCTCTGACCTGGTTCAGTGAGACTACCAGTGTTCCCACTGGGATTATTTTATATGAATATCTCTATACATTCTTTTATTGGTATATTAATTGTATAATTGAATTGGTTTCACTATGACATTTTCATATATGTATTAATGTATTTTGATCATATTCATCCCATATCCTATTTACCTCTGTATATTCTAAAGAGATTTGGTACCTATACTTTTTCCATGCATAACCCAATGTCAAGTTCATGTCTTTAAGAACTGGGCTTTACCACCAATTACACAGCTTGTATGTCTGGAGTGTTTCCAGAAAATCTTCATTAATTCCCACAGATATATACTGTTAGAGTCTCCTCTGTCTTAACTTTAGCCGTGTGTCTAAAATCCATTTTTGGCTTGTATCAACAGTCCTCCCTACAGGAATTTCAAAAGTTATGAACTTAGAAAGAAAAATGTATGAGCTATGTGGCCTTTATTAAAGTCAGTGAAAGTGAAACACGGGGAATGGTTCACCTGCATGGATGAATGAAAATGGTAATTTAATGACAATATTTTTCTTTAATGTACCTTCTGAGCTAATTTCCTTATGAGTGCCCTTGGCTCTTTTGCTAAAAGCAACTTTGGATTCCAATATGCTGCTCCTTCTATACTTATTATTGTTTTCTTCCAATATTTTCCATTGTATTTTTGTTTTTAAAAATAGTTTTGATCTTTTATGTCCCTTCTCTAGCCTGCATATTAATTCCATTCTGACTTGGAGGATAGGGGACCACCTTTTATCTTAATTTAAATTCTTAAGGGGGGTGCCAGTGTACTCCTTCAAACTCATGTGTATGTGTGTATGTGTGTAATTTATTTGGTTTTGAATTGCACCAATTGCTATTCCAAAGAACAGTGAAGAGTATGAATTTTAACCCAATTTGCAACCAGTCATGTTAAAAATGGAAACCCAAATGAAATATAGCTATGAACTTATTAAAATGAACATAAAAGGACATGAAATGGGTTTTAAAAAATCTCTGTATTTACTATCCTCAGGAACTATAATGAGTATGAGAATAATATAACTCGCAATCTAACAACGTAACCTACCAAAATTTAATGGAAACTGGTTTCCATGATATTCTTGGGTCAGACAAAAAATTTTATTATTTAGTGCATAGTATGTAGCACAAATATAATGTAGGCATTAGTTTTAATTGACTTACAAAACTCATAGCACACAAGCATGCAATTCCACATGAATTCAACACGGAGACAGGTTTAAGTCATAGTTGAATATGCTGGGAATAGCATATTCTAATATTTTTAAAGACAGTATTCAGTGGGAATTTTCCTTGGTATTTTACCTGAAAATATATTGTGCTTAAGTCATTCTAACCCCCATCCACTACTCTTTCTTACCCTTTCCCCTCATTCAACAGATTTCAGTGTTTTGTTCTTATACAGATGTGATGTACTTCATTATTATTCACTTTCTGTCATTCTTTCCCTCTTTTCCTCCTTCCTTACTCTCCTCTAACACTACCACTTTTGGAAATATTTTTGGTATATATTTATATGTACATATGGTAATGCTTGTATTTTTATTAGATAAACAATGAAGGATAGGAACTTAAAATAGGTTATATTAAGGGGAGAGAACTAGTGGTGGTGGGTAAATGAAGAGAGTAAATGAGGGTGAATATGGATGATGTACTTTCTGTACTTGTTTGAATATTGACCATTAAAACCTATTGAAGATAATGTAAGAAGGGGAATGGGGTATCAGGGAGAATAATGGTGGGGATGAATGAATTTCAGGTATAATGCATGTATGTTTCTATGTAAATGTCACAACAAAACTTCCTGTATAACTATCATAAGCTAAGAGAAATTTTATTTAAAAAAATGAAGGACAGGAAAGTAAAACAGAAGGTGGGTACCAGTGAGAGGGGAGAGGGCATAAGGAAAGGGTGAAGGAGGGGGAATATGCTGGAGTATTTTGTATTCACATATGAAAATTGAATAATAAAACCTGTTGAAATTGTTCTAAAAAGGGGGCAAGGAGGAATAAGCAAGAAAGATGGAGGGGATGAATCTAGTTAAGATATATGGTAAGTACTTATATAAATGTCACAATGTACCTTCCTGTATGACTATAATAAGCTAATAATAAAAAATGAAAATGACAGTGTTATGACACTGTCATACCCTTCATCATAATGGAAGATGCAATAATTATCCTGGGAGTCAACAAACATGTCCTCAGCCCCAGAGAGAGGCACTATATTTTCTAAGGATATTTTCCAATACATGTGATTGAATTACCATGATAACAAAACTGGATAATAGCACAATTATAAAGACAACTGTACACAAATTTCCATGATGAATATAGATGCAAAAGAAATCAATAAAATACTGGCAGATCAAATAATTTAAAAAGATAAAATACATGTATATCAAATTCACTGGTATATTAGGAAGATCTTACACCATGATCAACTTTGTTTTATTCCTCACATGCAAGAATGGTAAGGCAAATCAACAAATGCAAAAGAATACAAAAATTGAATCAAGAACAAAAAAATTAACATGATCATCTCAATAGATGCACAAAAAAGCCTTTGATAAGATTCAATATCCCATCATATAAAAGCTTGGGAGCAACCAGGAATAGAAGGATCATACCTCAATTTCATAAAGGCTATATATGTTAACCCTATGTCCAGAATTACACTGACTGGGGAAAACTTTAAAGCACTCTTCTTCTAATGTCAGGAACAAGACAAAGATTTCCACTTTCTGCACCTTCTTCTTTTTTTTTAAGACACAAAACTTAATTTAATAGAAATTTTGTTTGTAGTTCTTACATTCTCAGTGTGAGAGGAGCTACAACTCACTGCCCCATCCAGAAGTGGTCCAGTCCTGGGGCAGGGGAGAGAAAAGGGGAGGATAGGAAGAGCCCCATTCTTCCTCAGTGCTGGGGGGGCAGATATGCCACCCCTTTCTCCTGCCTCCCTCTGGTATCCAGGAAGGACAGCAGATTGAATCTCAAGCCTAGGGCTTCTCCTTTGCACTCCTGCCCCCAAAGTTGGAGGGTAGTAACTCAGGGATGGGGAAAGAAGGGGAGAGAAAAGGGAAAGATGTTGATTAACAAAGATGAGAGCCAGGGGAGAGGGCTGAAGGAGAATTGAAGACAAAATATCAGTAAAAAAAAGAAAAAAAAAAGAAAGGCGGAGGGAACAAAAAGGAACTCCACCCCAAATCTTAACCTGCTTGGAAAAAAAATGAACGTTCTCGAGTCTCATAGAGACATTATTTGGCACAGCCGGCTCAGGCCTCAGTCCAGCCCTGGAGGTGGGTGGCCTGCCCTCTACAGCTCTTCCTTTGCCTGGCCAGCAGTAGCTTCCTCCTCGTCTTCCTCCTTGTTCTCTTCGTCATCCTCATCCTCATCTTTGTCTTCCTCATCCTCCTTGTCCTCTGCCTCCTCCGCCTCCTCTTCTTTAAGCCTCTGCTCCTCGTCCTGTTTATCCTTCATCTGCTTTTCTGCTGCCTTTGTGACACCCCAGTCTCATTGACAAACTCCTCTGCATATGCCTCATCCTTGGTGATGAGGAAGTTGTCAAAGATGGTGCCAGACTTGACCTGCCAGAGATCTAGGCCCAGCACAGCAAAGTTGTCATAAGCATAGATACTGGCTTCTGGGGAGTAGTCAGTGTTGTCAATTTCAGGGTGGATCCAGGTGCCCTTGTAATCGGGGTTGTCAATTTGCTGTGGCTTCCACTCGCCCTTGTACTCAGGGTTCTGAATCACTGGTGGTTTCCACTCTCCATCCATCTCTTCATCCCAGTCTTCTGGCTTCTTAGCATCAGGATCAGGGATGTGTTCTGGCTTGTCCCATTCCTCAGGTTTGGAATCTGTGGGGTCATCAATCTTGGCGCGCTCATCCCAGTCTTCTGGCTTGACAGCATCAGGATCCTTTATCTTTTTGAGGGGCAGGAAGTCCCAATCTTCCTCAAGGAACCAGACCCCACTTGGCTGTTGTCAATTTTCACCTCATAGGTGTTGTCATTCTGGACAATGAGTGTGTACAGGTGTGTGAATTCATCATCCTTGCACCGGATGTCCTTGTTGATTAGCACGTTCTTGCCATTTTCTTATAGTTGAAAATGACATGAACCTTCTTGGTGCCAGGGCCACAGATGTCTGGTCTGAACATGATGTTAAATTCTGAGTCTCCGTGCATGTCTTTCTGGTCCAAACTCGGAAACAGCTTCACGTAGCCGCCCCCACAGTCAGTGTTCTGCTCATGCTTCATGGTGAATTGCACCACCAGCATCTGGCTCTTGTTGCTGAAAGGCTCAGATCTTGGCAACAGGGCATAAAAGCCGACATCCTGGCTAGTTTGCAGTCCTTTATCCTTCTTCTGGTCACCATAGAACTTGCCGGAACTGAGGATGAATTTGCCAAGATCTGACTTGTGTTTGGATTCGATCCAGCGAGAGGTCCAATCATCTCCGTCCAGAAACTGCTCCTTGAAGTACACAGGGGACTCAGTGACGGCCAGGCTGGGAAGGCTGAGCAGTAGCGGCACCGGTAGCAGTATGGCGGGCCAAGAGGGTGGCGGCACGCGGGCCCTTTAAAACGATCCTCCAGCAGAGGCTCTGCAGTACAGACAGTGCACCTTCTTCAATATAGTACTTTAATTATTAGCCAGAGAAATGAGGTAAGAAAAGTAAATAATAAATAAATAAAGGCATTAAAATAGGAAAGGAAGAAATCAAACTCTTCTTATTTTCAGATGATATGATCGTATAATTAAAAGAACGTAAGGGGTGAGGTGTGGTGACACATGCTGTAATCTTAATTACTTTGTAAATGACCACTACAAGGAGAACTACAAACCACTGAAGAAAGCAATAGAAGAAAACTAGAGAAGGTGGAAAGATCTCCCATGTTCATGGATTGTAAGAATCAATATAGTAAAAATGGCTGTACTACCAAAAGCAATCTACACACTCAATGAAATTTCCATCAATGAAGAATCTACCCTATAGTTCATTTGGAAGCACAAAAGACCACAAATTGCCAAGGCATTACTGAGCAAAAAGAGCAATGCTGATGGTATCAAGTTCAAACTATACTACAGAGTGGTAGCAATAAAAACTGCATGATACTGGCACAAAAACAAATATGAAGACCACTGGAACAGAATAGAGGACCTGGATATGAATTCACACAGTTATGCCCAGTTTATTTTTTGACAAAGTCGCCAAAAACGTATGGAGAAAAGACAGTTTCTTGGACAAATGTTGCTGGAAAAGTGGTTATTTGCCTGCAGAAAACTGAAACTAGATCCATGTATATCACCCTGTACTAATGTCAACTCAAAGTGGATTAAGGATCTTAATATCAGACCTGGGATCTTACAGTTAGTACAGGAAAGAGCAGGGAACACTCTGGAAACAATAGGTATAGGCAAAGACTTCCTCAGTAGAATTCATGTGTCCCAGCAACTAAGAGAAAGGATGGACAGATGGGACTATGTGAAATTAAAAAGCATCTGCACAGAAAAAGAAATGGTCTCTTAATTGAAGAGACTACCCACAGAGTGGTAGAAAAATCTTTTCTAGCTATACATCAGATAAGGTACTGATAACCAGAATATACAGGGAGCTCAAAAAACTAAACTACTCAAAAATCAATGAACCAATAAAGAACTGGGCAACTGAACTAAACAGATCTTTTTCAAAGGAAGAAGTCGAAATAGCCAAAAAATACACAAAAAATGCTCACCATCCCTGACCATAAAGGGAATGCAAATCAAAACTACACTAAGATTTACGTCACTCCTGTTAGAATAGATATCATCAGGAACACCACCAACAACAAATGTTGGTGAGGCTATGGGGAAAAAGGAACCCTCACACACTGCTGGTGGGAATGTAAGTTAGTACAACCACTTTGCATAGCAATATGGAGGCTTCTTTAAAAACTAAACATAGATCTGCCATATGATCTAGCAATACCACTATTAGGGATATACCTGAAGGAATGTGACTTACGTTATAACAAAGGCACCTGCACACCCATGTTCATTGTAGCACTATCCACAATAGTCAAGCTGTGGAAACAGCTAAGATGCCCCACTACCAATGAATGGATTAAGAAAATGTGGTGTTTATACACAATGGAATTTTATTCAGCCATAAAGAAGAATGAAGTTTTGTCATTTGCAGGTAAATGGATGGCCCTGGCGAACATCATCTTAAGCAAAGTTAGTCATGCGCAGAAGGCCAAAAATCACTTTCTCCCTCAAATGAAGATTGTAGATCAAAAAAAAAAATGCAGTAATGTTATTGGACATGGGTCACACACTAAGGGGAGAATGTACACGGAAGGAATAGGGAAAGGGAAGGAAACCTAAAACTTGAACATGGTTGATGTGCTCACTGCAGAGGAGTGAATATGGTCATCTTAAACAGGCAGAGGGCTCTATGGGAGGCGGAGTAGGAAGTAATGAAGAGGTCTGGTACAGATGAAGCAATGTGGGTTGTAATATACATGTGCATGGAAGCAATGCAAGGAATCTCTCTCTGCATAGCTGTCTTTATCTCAAAGTAGCAAAAATGCCATGTCTTTCTTATTATCTCTTCAACAAAATTGGAGAACAAAAGGGTGAAACAGATTCTGCCCAGAAAAGGGGGTGGAGAGGGGAGGGGGGCTTGTGTCTCTAGTACTGTATACATATGTGAGTAAATGTAAAAACAATAAAATTAAAAACCTAATTACTCAGAAGTTGGAGAAGGGAACATTTATTTTCACGGCCAACATGTGTGAAAAATGGTGCCTGTCTACCACTGAACTATGCAGAAGTCTAAGTAAGAGGACCACACTCCAAGGCCAGCACCAAGGGAAAAAAACAAGAAGGTCCTATCTGAAAAATAACTATAGCAAAAAGGGCTGGGGGGCTGGCTCAACTGGAAGAGGACCTGCCTGGAATGTGTGAGGCCCTGAGTTCAAACTCAATACTTTAAAAAAGAAGACCATAAGACTTTACTATACTACTCTAAGTTGAAGGACAAAAACTTTCCTCATAAGAGAAGGGCGTCCACTTTCACCACCACTCAAGTTTGTACCAGAATTTCTATACAGAGCAATTAGACAGGAAACGGGGAGGCAAGCAAATTGATAGGAAAAAGTAAAATAATCACTATTTGCAGATGATAAAATCCTAATACAGAAAAGCTCATAAAATCCACGGAAATATAAAAATACAATGTTATAAATGACCTAAGCAAAGTTGCACAATATTATATCATCTATATGGGAAAATTAGTCATGAAAAGGAAATGAAGCAAAGAATGCCACTTGCAGAAAATTCCAAAGATAAAAATACTTAGGACTATATTTAACCAAGAGGTTGAAAGACATATTGTCTAAAAATCAGTGAAATATTGCTGGCAAATTTAAGGCAGATTTGGGATCTGAGCATGGTGGTATAAGTCTTTAACCCAGGATACTCAGGAGATACACATCAGGACAATCATTGACTGAGGCCAACCCCAGGCAAAAAAATTAGTGAGATTTCATCTCAACAAATAAGCTAGCCATGGTGGCATGTGACCATAATTCAAACTCCAGGGAAGGCATAGATAGAAGGATAGAAGGATCCAGCCACAGACTGGTTCTGGGCAAAACGTTTAAGAACCTTTCTAAAAAATATCTGAAGAAAAAAGGGCTACAGGTGTGGCTGAAGTGGTAGAGTGCCTGACTAGCAAGTAAGATGTCTTGGGTTCAACCCCCTGTGCTGCATTAATTAAATAACTAACTAGACTTAAATAAATGGAAAGACACTATATATTTTCTTAAGATGACATATTCACTAATGCTCTTGTTTTGTTAAGATAGTAATATTCACCAATGCTCTCTACAGATTTGAGGATAATACTACTATCAAAATACCAGCGATCTTTCTTTGAGAATACAAAAGATGATTCAAATTCATGTGATACTGCAAAAGTCCCCAAATACCATGAAATACTTGAAAAGGATAGGCTCTATCCAGAACACATAAAACCATAGAGACAGAATGCAGATTGATGGTTTTCAGGGGATGGAGATGGGGGAGGGGAGAAATATGAAGAAACTGCTTCATGGTAACAGGTTTTTAGGAATTACCTAGAGATGGTAGTTGTACAGCTTCTGGAGTGTTTGTTGTTGAGTTGTAAGAGTTCTTTATCCTTGATATTAATCCCTTATCAAATACATGATTTACAAATATTTTATCCCATTTTGTGAACTGCCTTTTCACAATTGATCTTTTATGCACAATAGTTACTTTTTGTTGTATTTTTGAAGTGAAATTTATGTTTTTCTTTGGTTGCATTTGCTATTTATTATAATGTCCATCAGCCTAGATTTTATCTTGATGGTGACATGAAGACAGTGGAGGTTTCAATGCCATCAAGTGATGTGATCTGACTTTTTATTTACTTCTATCGCATAAAGAGAACTATAGGAGTTAGGCCTTCTGTCTGTTAGCCTAAATGCTCTGCCTCTTTCCTAGCAGTTTTCATCACAGTTGTTGTATTCAGACCCATTTAAGATTCTAATTACAACTGCTCATTTTCTTGCAGGAAAAATTCCTCATACCCCTATTTTTACCAGTAATTTTAGGGGACACTGCCAGTCAAATTCTGAAATCCTCATATTGTCCATCATCTTCATGTTGCTGTTGGGTTCAATGAGGCCAAAGTTGGGCTCATTTCACCAAATTACTCAGAGAATGTCTGAGTTCAGAGATCTGAACTGTATGCAATTGAATTTTGAAATGCTTGCCTGGATGGATCAGCAATAAGAATTTGTTCTTATTACCTTATCATGTGAAATTTTCGAGACATACTTTCATATACATGAACAAAAGGATCTTTTCTCATAGTTGTAATCACATTTATCCCAAGCATTTGCTTCTTCTTTTCCAGGAAATCACATCGAAACATTTCAAAATTATAAAATTGTGAACATATAGGGATGTGAGGTCTTCAGGAGACAGGGCCAGAGTCAGACCCCAGAGTGCCCTAGGGTTCTGAGGAACTGCATGGCAGGCATTAACTCTAGGAGTCAAGAAGGGAGGGAGTGGGAGAAAGGAAGGTTTCACTCCATCCTGCACATGCATCTGAAGGGACAGGGATGGCAGGGTCAGAACAGTGTTTCAGTCAGACAACACCTGCAGACACAAAGGCCACAGGTGAAGAGCAACCCCAGCTAGACCTTCAGTGGAAGTAAATGGACCCAACCCAGCAACATATGTGTTAGTGTTCCTCTCTTCTCAGGGCAGGAGGAGATTTAATGGCAAATACACATGTGGATGTGGGGATTTTAACATTAGTAGTGACCCCATGCCCTGAGATTCAGAAGTTCAGTTTAAACCAAAGTACTGAAACTCGTAGATGCAAATATGACCTTGTTCCTGCTATCTGCTTCTAGGTCTGAAGGAAGCTGCACATGCACTGCTGGAAGTGGCTTGTGGGTGGAGCCTGGCCAATGGGGTGGAGGGGGGGACCAAACTAGGAAGGTGTGCCCCTTAGAACTGAACAGTGCAGAGAGGGACCTAGCCAAGGCCAAGACAGTTTTTCCTTCATGTGTGCTTTCAGTTCCTAAATGCCCTCCTACACCAACCCTGGTGTTTGGAGCCAATGAACTGCTTCAGATCTGGTGGAGCAATGTCGTTTCTTTTGAGTTGCCTACACCATTTATGTTAAAAGCGAGGATTGTTTTAACAAGTTGAAAACGTTTTTGATAAAAAATTATTTTTGTGAAGGGTTGGAGATGCTGGTCCTGAAATTAAGGTGAGCAGGGTCAAGAAACTGGAACTTGGATGGATGGCCAATGTAGACTGGTAGTTGGATCCCAGAAAGTATACTATTAGAATTTAAGTAAATTAATTAAGGACTGCAGTCGTTTGTTGGAAAGGATACAACTTGAATGCGAAATGCACAACTCTTACCTGTGCGAAATGTGTCATTCTGGACTGTCACCCTTTACAGAATTAGTTCCATTTCTACTCTCCACTCACCCATGAGGCAAAGACTCAATCCTGTGCTCGCTTATACAGACATTTAGAGAAAATACAAATGAAAGTGAAAATAACCCCATTTCTAGTTTCAATAATCTTTAAGGCAATATCTGTGAGTGAAAACCTACTATGAAATATGTGTTTCTTTCTCAAATCCCTAAGTGCAGAAAGTTCTTTTCAGGAAGAACACTTTGGTGAGATAAAGACCTTTTATATATGTTCAATTTAGAGAGTGAACTGTAGTAGATATTGTGTGTTGTTTCACAACTTTTAAGCATTAGTTACAGAATTCTCAATGTTCATTATAATTGAAATGTCTGATGTGTAGTGAGACATGCAAATCTTTACTCATAGAACTCCTAATGTTTTATTCTAAAATTAATATGCTGATGGTCACCAAAGACTGAATTTTGGATGAGAACTTTGCTACACACATTATACTTTTAGGTTTTTCTCCAGAATTTATTTACTGATGTTTCATAATGTTTGATTATTGGTTTAAAACATTGCCCCACTAATTATAATCCTATATGAATTTTGGATGATTAATGAAAATTTACTGTCTGAAGGCCTTCCAACCTTATCTTTGCAAAGATTTTCTCTAATACATGTTTGTGATATTTTGTTCTGAATGAAGAATGGATCAAAATTCCCTACCCTTTTTTGCAAATGTTGGTTGTCACATGGGGAAACAGTGTTTAAAGACATAAAGTGAAGCAGTTATTTTGGTAAATTTCTTAACTTGGCTACTGTTATAATATTCATCCTCATTTTAAATCTCTACAGTTTACCCAGATGTAACTGAAAGCTTAATCCAATTCTGTTTTTAGAAAATCATTTCATGTACATGTATTCAATACACTAAAAATACAGTGTGGGATAGATAAGGGGATCTTTAGAAGGGAGCTTACTCCATTTATGTAATACTCTTGCTATTGTTTGAGTATGACCCCCACAATTTCATGTTTTTGGAACTCAATGCCATGTTTAGGCAAAAATCGTGAATTCATTTTCATTCTGAATTTTTTCTTATAAAAATTACAAGTAGCTGGGCACTGGTGGCTCATGCCTATAATCCTAGCTAATCGGGAGGCAGAGATCAGGAGGATTGCAGTTCAAGATCAACCTTGGCAAATTGTTCACAAGATCCTATCTAAAAAATTTCCAACCCATAAAAGGACTGGTGAAATGCCTCGGAGGGTAGAGAACCTGACTGACAAGCCTGAGACTCTGAGTTCAAACCCAAGTACTGCCAAAAAGAAATCACAAGGCAGAGAAATGAACATATTCACAAGTGAAAATGATATTTCCTTAATCACCAGAAGATTTCTGTGGTATGTGTCCCTTTACTATTATTAAAAAACAGTTGTAAATCATTAAAGATTACCAAAATGACCTAACAGAATTAGTTTGACCTAGTGAATTGCCTCCTATATCACGAAAATAGAGTACAGATTTTCTAAGCATATATCCTAAAAACAAATCGGATGTTAATTTTATTAAAGATCATTCACACATGTGGAATCTCTTGTCATTTTCAAAATACTGTTTTTTTCCATAGCTTCATCATAACACTTTAGATTATTCCCCTATTTTAATAAGTATCTTTGAACTTCTTGGTATGTATATTCACAACTTTCATGACATTTGGGAATTTTTCCTGCCATCATTTCATCATAGATTATGTATGATCCTTTCTTTCACATGTTCTTGTGAACTCGTATATTGCTCACCTTGGTGTACTTGATAATGTCTCACAAGTCCCACAGACTATGTTTCTTCTTCTTTTTTCTATTTTCTTCCTCCTCTTTTCCCATCCATTCTTGCTGTTCCTCCCCCTTTTTCTCTTCTCCTTATTTCTCTAAATTTTATCTTCCTTTTTTATTCATTTTCCTCTTTTATCTTATTTTCCTATTATTCTGTTCCTCCTCTGCTCATCCTTCTCTACTTCCCATTTTCTTCTTTCTGCTCTCAAACTGGATAATATCAATCAATCTATCTGTAAGTTTAGTGATTCTTTTGATTGCTCAAACCTGTTGTTGAAGTGACCTAATGAAATTTTCATTTCAGTTGTTGTAGTTTTCAATTTCAGAATTTCTGTTTGACCCCATATAAAAATTTTGCTATCACTTTTGATCAACCTTTTGAGATGTAATTTTCTCAATTACATTTACTTCTTTTTTCATGGCTCTCTATAGATCTTTGAGGAGGTTTAAATCAGTGAATTTAAGTATTTGTCAAGAATGTTCAGTGCCTGTGCATCCTCAGAAATTTTTAAATTTTTCTTATGAATGGTCCATAATTTTTTATTTCTTTACATGTATCATATTTATTAAAAGCTTAGCACTCAAACTCTGAAAATCACATTCCCCTCTCCCCTAGTATGTATTGTTGCTTCTTGTTATGATTTGTCATTTATTAAATGATTTTTATAAGTTGCCCTTATAAAGAATCTACTTGTGGGGTCACTATAATATCTTTTCCATAATCTTAATAGTTATATTGAAGTTTGACTGTGGTTTCATTAAAAAGGGGGAACAATATCCTCCCACTGTTTGCACATTGGCTTTGAAGGAGTTGGGGGTATTCTTTCAATGCTTAGTGAGGCTATTTAAAACTCTGTCTTCACTTTCACATTCTGCCTGTATAGATCCTGATTGTCATCCAAAGTGACAGGTTAGCATTTTCTCAGGCAAATGATTCACCAGGATTTGTAGTTATTCAAAAAATCTTTATTACACACTCTTCACTATTCTTAGCCATTTGCTCTACTTTTTAGTGTTTCTTTTTCTTAGCCTGACTGCTATCCTTGGACCTCACTGTCTATAGCCAATACGTTAGCTTTCAATTGTGGCACTATTTTTGCTGTTGTTTGGCAATGAGAGAAATGTGTTTGGAATTTGGAAGATAGAAGTGAAAGAAAGACAATAACCTCAGGAGAATCCAATGACTTGATACTTGTCAGAGCTTCCCGCTTCCACCTCTGGCAGTGCTCACTACACCTTTAAGGCAGTCAGAAGCAGTGATTCTCAGAGATCTCCAGGATATTGGACTACCGTATTCACGCTGCTACCTCAGGATGTTGACAGTCACTATGTTTGTGGTACCCAGCTGCAATCTTTCATATTTATCCTCTGACATTTTACTGTATTTTACATAATTATTATACTCAAATAATTACATTAATATGCGTTCCTGGCCAAAGCTTGAGAGAATCCCTCAGATTAATATGATTTCTGTATTTTCAAAAGTCTAATCACACATTCATCTACTAGTCATGTGGTCCTCCCATCATTTGAGCTCCACTAAAGTGACTTTAATGAATTTTTAAAAATCTACTGAGAAAATATTGTTCAAAAATTTGTGATAAACTACTGGTTATCCACAGAAAAAGACTGCAATTATACCCCTGCATAATGTATACTGAAGTTACCTTAGAACAGAGTAAAGAAAGTAATATGAGTAGTAATCATGAAAAGCTTAGGACAAAACATAGATGAAAATATCCCTGGCATTATTAGGTTTGGTAACATTTTTTTAGGTATAACACAAACATAAGCAATATGCCAACTTACCCTTTAGACTGTACTCCATTTATACTACATCTCACTGAATTGTACGCCATAAGTGGGTCATCTTAATGTCACTAGAATTGTATATAATAAACAAACAAAAAGTTAGTATCTGGATATTGAATTCTGATAAAACATACTAACCAGAGAAACAGGGTCTAGTATATATTGCAATAATTGAGGATTGAGATGAGGATGACAAGGATAAGGACAGGCAAAGAATTAGAGGGATAACATTGAAGTAAAATAAGCAAATTGTTTGTTTTCCCAAAATTCTTGTGTGAAACTTTCAGGGTAGCAAGCGGTCTCTTGTTTCCACATTACATCTAAGCTCACCATCCTGTCTCTCCCAATTCTTTCATTGAACTGTAGACTTAAAAGACTCTCCTCTACATTTACAGAGCACCTACTTTTACCTGTCATCATTATGCATTTTTTATATCGTAAAAGTTTCCAGTTTTAAACAACCCCTTAGTATATGCATCCCTGAATTTTTTCACTGATAGTAGGGACAAAATTTAATTTCAATATAAAGTTGATTTAAAGGATGTGATGAGAATGATTTAGATATGAAGGTTTTGATATGCAGGTGTTTCCCCAGAAAGGTTCATGTGTTAAAAGCATTGGTCCTGGTACAATATTCAGAGGGCTTTTCTGGAAAGTGATTGGACTCTGCATTAATCAATGGATTGGTCTATTGGTGGATTCATAATTGTATGGCATTATTAAGAGGTGGTGGAAATTTTTGGAAGTGGGCTATGTTACTTGGGGGTGTATTCTTCAGAGTCAAATCTTATCCCAGACACCTCCCTGTCCCTCTACTTCATATCCACCATGAAGGTGGTCCACCACATGCTCCACTCCATGATGTTCTTCCTCACCTCAGGCCCACAGCAATGGACCGGTGACTATGGTCTTTATTGAGAAATTTGTGTTTGTGTTAATCAAGAAATTGGTATTTTGGGGTGTGTGTGTGTGTGTGTGTGTGTGTGTATGTGTGTGTGATATGTGCATCCTTACTATGTTTTGGTATTAGGCTAATACTAGCTTCATAAAATTATTTTAGTAACTTTCCTTCCTTTCTATTTCATGGAATAGTTTCAGGAGGATTGGTGTTGGTTCTCTAACAGTAGTGCTTTAATTTTGCCACGAGTCCATCCTTTCCTGGGCTGTTCCATGTCAGCAGACTAGTGCATCAATCTCCTTGCTTTTGAAAGATCTGCTTAAGTGGTTTTTATCCTCTTGGTTTAATTTTGTATGTGAAATTCATGGATGTTTATTCATTTCTTCTTGATTTTCTAGTTTATTATAACATGTTATTACAGTGTTCTCTAATAATTCTCTCAATTTCATTGGTCTTTGCTGTGATAACCCCCTTTTCATCACTAATTTTATTAATTTGGGTTTTCTCCCTCCTTTTAATTTGACTAGGAGTCTATCAATTTTACCATTTCAAAGAAGTAAATTTTTTTGATTCTTTGTAGAGTTTTTTTAGCATCCATAGCATTAAGTTCTGCTCTAATTTCTTTTCCCCTACTGATTTGGGGTTTGGCTTGTTCTTATTTTCCTAGGAGCTTTAGGTACATAATTCCTCTTAGCATTGCCTTTCCTGTATTCCAAGGTTCTGGTAAGTTGTATTTTCATTTTTCTGTAGACTCTAGGAACTTTTTGATTTCTCTGACTTCATTGGTGACCCATTGGTTGATCAACAATTTATTATTCAATCTCTAGGTATTTTAATATGTTCAATAGTTATTTTTTTCCTATTGATTTCTAGTTTTATTATATTGCAGTCTGATACAGAGACTTATTCTAATTTGCTTATAGTTGTTAATAATTGCTTTATGCCTTAACATGCAATCTACTTTTGAAGAAAATTCCATGGGCCACTGAGAGGAATGTGTAATGAGAAGCTGTTGGATGAAATATTCTTTAGGTATCTGTTAGGGCCATTTGGTCTGTAGTACTTACTTCTGAAGTTTCTTTGTTTCTTGTGAGATGAGATTCTTGTTGATGAGTGGTGTTCAAATCTCCCACTATTATTATATTGATGTATACCTGTCCTTGTAAGTCTAATGGTTTTTAGTGAAATTAGATGTGCCGATGTTCGGTGTGCATCTATGAACAATTGTTATCTCCTTTTGATGGACTGTTCCATATATTCAGTGGCCTTCTCCATCTATTCTAATTTTGGATTGAAGTCTTTTTTATCAGATATTAGTATAGTTACTCCTACCTGCACTAGGGGCCCATTTACTTGAAAAATCTTTTTCAGTCCTTTCACTGTAAGCCAATATTTGTGTTTCTGAGAGGTGTTTCTTTTTTTTTGTCCATCTTTTTTTAAAATTGTTTTATTATTCATATGTGCATACAAGGCTTGGGTCATTTCTCCCCCCTGCCCCCACCCCCTCCCTTACCACCCACTCTGCCCCTTTCCTCTCCCCCCCCACCCACTCAATACCCAGCAGAAACTATTTTGCCCTTATTTCTAATTTTGTTGTAGAGAGAGTATAAGCAATAATAGGAAGGAACAAGGGTTTTTCCTGGTTGAGATAAGGATAGTTATACAGGGAGTTGACTCACATTAATTTCCTGTGCGTGTGTGTTACCTTCTAGGTTAATTCTTTTTGGACTCACATTAATTTCCTGTGCGTGTGTGTTACCTTCTAGGTTAATTCTTTTTGAACTAACCTTTTCTCTAGTTCCTGGTCCCCTTTTCCTATTGGCCTATGTTGCTTTTAAGGTATCTGCTTTAGTTTCTCTGAGTTAAGGGCAACAAATGCTAGCTAATTTTTTAGGTGTCTTACCTATCCTCACCCCTGTTGTCTTGGGTGTTCTCGCTTTTATCATGTGCTCAAAGTCCTATACAATTGTTGTGTTTGCCCTTGATCTAATGTCCACATACGAGGGAGAACATATGATTTTTGGTCTTTTGGGCCAGGCTAACCTCACTTAGAATGATGTGCTCCAATTCCATCCATTTACCAGCGAATGATAACATTTCGTTCTCCCTCATGGCTGCATAAAATTCCATTGTGTACAGATACCACATTTTCTTAATCCATTCATCAGTGGTGGGGCATCTTGGCTATTTCCATAACTTGGCTATTGTGAACAGTGCCGCAATAAACATGGGTGTGCAGGTGCCTCTGGAGTAACCTGTGTCACAGTCTTTTCGGTATATCTCCAAGAGTGGTATTGCTGGATCAAATGGTAGATCAATGTCTAGCTTTTTAAATAGCCTCCAAATTTTTTTCCAGAGTGGTTGTACTAGTTTACATTCCCACCAACAGTGTAAGAGGGTTCCTTTTTCCCTGCATCCTCGCCAACACCTGTTGTTGGTGGTGTTGCTGATGATGGCTATTCTAATAGAGGAGAGGTGGAATCTTAGTGTGGTTTTAATTTGCATTTGCTTTATTGCTAGAGATGGTGAGCATTTTTTAATGTGTTTTTCGGCCATTTGAATTTCTCCTTTTGAGAAAGTTCTGTTTAGTTCACTTGCCCATTTCTTTTTTTTTAAATTTTATTATTCATATGTGCATACAAGGCTTGGGTCATTTCTACCCCCTGCCCCCACCCCCTCCCTTACCACCCACTCTGCCCACTCCCTCTCCCCCCAACCCCCTCAATACCCAGCAGAAACTATTTTGCCCTTATTTCTAATTTTGTTGTAGAGAGCATATAAGCAATAATAGGAAGGAACAAGGGTTTTTGCTGGTTGTGATAAGGATAGCTATACAGGACATTGACTCACATTGTTTTCCTGTGTGTGAGTGCTACCTTCTAGGTTAATTCTTTTTGATCTAACCTTTTCTCTAGGTCCTGGTCCCCTTTTCCTATTGGCCTCAGTTGCTTTTAAGGTATCTGCTTTAGTTTCTCTGCATTAAGGGCAACAAATGCTAGCTAGTATTTTAGGTGTCTTACCTATCCTCACCCCTCCCTTGTGTGCTCTCACTTTTATCATGTGCTCAAAGTCCTATCCCATTGTTGTGTTTGCCCTTGATCTAATGTCCACATATGAGGGAGAACATACGATTTTTGGTCTTTTGGGCCAGGCTAACCTCTCTTAGAATGATGTGCTCCAATTCCATCCATTTCCCAGCGAATGATAACATTTCGTTCTTCTTCATGGCTGCATAAAATTCCATTGTGTATAAATACCACATATTCTTAATCCATTCGTCAGTGTGGGCATCTTGGCTGTTTCCATAACTTGGCTATTGTGAATAGTGCCAATAAACATGGGTGTGCAGGTGCCTCTGGAGTAACCTGTGTCACAGTCTTTTGGGTATATCCCCAAGAGTGGTATTGCTGGATCAAATGGTAGATCAATGTTAGCTTTTTAAGTAGCCTCCAAATTTTTTTCCAGAGTGGTTGTACTAGTTTACATTCCCACCAACAGTGTAAGAGGGTTCCTTTTTCCCCGCATCCTCGCCAACACCTGTTGTTGGTGGTGTTGCTGATGATGGCTATTCTAACAGGGGTGAGGTGGAATCTTAGTGTGGTTTTAATTTGCATTTCCTTTATTGCTAGAGATGGTGAGCATTTTTTCATATGTTTTTTGGCCATTCGAATTTCTTCTTTTGAGAAAGTTCTGTTTAGTTCACTTGCCCATTTCTTTATTGGTTCATTAGTTTTGGGAGAATTTAGTTTTTTAAGTTCCCTGTATATTCTGGTTATCAGTCCTTTGTCTGATGTGTAGCTGGCAAATATTTTCTCCCACTCTGTGGGTGTTCTCTTCAGTTTAGAGACTATTTCTTTTGATGAACAGAAGCTTTTTAGTTTTATGAGGTCCCATTTATCTATGCTATCTCTTAGTTGCTGTGCTGCTGGGGTTTTTCCAGAGTATTTCCTACTCTTTCCTGTATCAACTTTAGAGTTTGGGGTCTGATATTAAGATCCTTGATCCATTTTGAGTTAATCTTGGTATAGGGTGATATACATGGATCTAGTTTCAGTTTTTTGCAGACTGCTAACCAGTTTTCCCAGCAGTTTTTGTTGAAGAGGCTGCTATTTCTCCATCATATTTTTAGCTCCTTTGTCAAAGACAAGT